CCACCCCCACCCCCGGAAAAAAGGTCGAATCCTTATAAGCCACACATTCTCACTTATGCAACGAGTTTGACAGCGATCAGTAAGATTCGTTTCACTGTATTACGGTGTACGATAATCGATGATCATGATTATGATGATGATTTCACGCTTCATACTGTAATTCACTTTATGTAATAACAGCGTGCTTCTGATGACTTGCGTGGGCATGCTAAAAGCGCTTACCTGATTCCATTTCCGACACGAGAAACTGATGGAGGACTTTCAGTCCAGGGGTTTTTCGCACCACGTATTTGTCCGTGTCAAGCTGCCAAGCCATATTATCCGGATACCATGAAAGTGGTTCAAAAGAAACTGGTTTTCGTTCACCGTTCGCATTGACCGGAAAATCCATTTTCGATATTTCTGTTTTGTACCTATCCTTGATGAACCGTAATAAATCCTTGCTATGCCCACGAAATCCTGTGATTCGGAAAGTAATCGGTAGCTCCTGACCCAAGGCATACATAAATTGGTCCCATTCATCAGCTGGAACAATATTCTGCCCCTTGTAGTACTGCTCGAATTGGCTGTTCCGACGATTCTCTGCAGTGAATCGATGCCTACCACATTTTGGGCGCCTCCGATTAACCATTTCAATCTGAAAGAAAAACAGCACCGATTAATGGATACCACACATTATCATCCGCCCAACGGGGCCAACAATGCATCTGTTCGGCGGATACGACTACGAACACATGAAACCAGCTCACCTCAAAAACGAAAACCGGATTAGTTAGCAAAAGAAAGTCACATGAAGCATTTTCCGGAACAAACGTAAGTGATCGCGAAATAAAACTTCGGTTTAATTCAGTTGAAACCAAAATTTTGTTTTATTTATGACGAAAGCAACATTTTCTTCAGTATAAACAAAGAACACAAAACTGGGATTGCGCAACATATCGTTTCGCTGTATCGCAGCTGGTTCTTACCGAAAAAAAAGTTCAGTATTTCATTGCGTACCAAAAGTAGTTGCGAAATGGTCAAAAGTAAATGGAGTGGATAACCATGAACTACTCGAAAGGCGCGTCTCGGAATCCAACTCTCGACCTTAAAGACGGAATTAAAAGCTTAAACTTTTACATAAGAATTCATTTTTATGTAAAAGCTTAACCATTTTTGCTCGTGTATGGGTTTCGTAGACTCAAGTCAATTAAAAGTAAGCTATATGCCCCCATAGGTTGTATTTTTTTAAGATAATACAGTGAAATCGAGGTGAATGGCGTCAAGGTGTAAATAGGCTAATTAAAAAAACGACAGGAAACTGCAAGCAGGAAGACGATAGTGACGGGGAAAAAATGAATAAATAAACCAACTCATGAGATGTTCATCCAAACCTGTGATAAGTTGTGCTCGAATTACTAGAAAGCGAACAAGAAAAGGGAACATGCTTATTCTGAATGCGACGGTGCGTGTGGGAAGGGGCCTATAATGGGAGCGGGTAGGGGATTTGACACGGATTTATTAAGTTTGTTGTGCAAGCAGTGATCTACGTTGTTCAAGATATATATCAGTCAGTCAGTCAGTCAGGATAGGAGTTTCATTGACCTGGAAACTAATACGAAATCTTTTTCTTTTGAACCGGGAAAAAATACAGGGGCCCCTGTACTGTTCCGGAAAAGTACAACCAATGAGGGAGGATATGTAGTGACCATGCTTGTACGAAGAAAAGGAGCAATCCACGAGGACGTTTTTCCGTTCATATTTTCTTCACAATGAACTCTTGTAGTGACACGCCACTTTCACCTTTCACCTACGACTTCTTTTCTACTCGCTACGAGCTTTTGTTTTACCGGGTGCACCTTACCTGTTTACGCTCAACCGCGGAATTGNTCCTACAAACCGTTGGTCACGAGCTATCCGTCTTCTTACTCGTCCGGAGCAATAGTCGTGTTGCTCTTTGTCATACTCGATTGTTGAGGTAAATCGTGTTTGGTTATCGTAGATAGTGTTAGCTATCTAAAGTGGTGAGCCCGTACGTTTTTTACGGACCGCAGTATATATATATTGCCGCAATATTTTTTTTCGCATCCTTTTTTTTACGACTATCGTTTTTGAGATTGTTATTCTAGCATCCGCAATCGTTATTTGTTCTCAGATATTGTTATATACGTAACGTTTCATAATGTTCG